AAGAGGTACCACGGATCATTCACTCTATCAATCCGGTACATCCATTCCAACCTATCCATTATACCTGCGAACATTATCTATCACAATCAACATTAAATAAAGAAGAATTAGGAGAAATTGATGATTTTTACGTCCAAAATCATGAAAAAGAGATGAAATGCCAACAACTAGACACTGGTTTGGCGCAAATCACCATTAGCAACTTCTGGATATGTATTCCAGGACACGTCTACTTGATGCCCGGTATTAATGAACTAGATTAGACACGTCCACTTGTTTGGTTTGAAATTTTTGTTGACCAAATCAAACTGAAGCCGTGATAAAATGTGGCCTAAAAATAATATTTGGTTTTTGACGGAGCCAAAATATGGCTTGTGCCAAAATCTAGCGTAGCAAAAAAATGTTTAGATGATAACCAAGCTAAATTCTTGGTTTTTTCCTTCAAGTAAATATGGTTACGTGGAATCTTGTTTTGTAGATAAATTCTTAATAAATATTATAGTAAAAAAAATTACAAATTGGACAAATGATTAAATATATATTAGCATTTGAAGTTTGATTATCAACTCAGTACATGCAAAAGCAAAATGTAGCAATAAGAAAGAGCCTCCATACATGCAGTAGTGCCAGTGGACAGTGGTCCACACATGCCCAGAAAAGGCGAACCCCAAATGCCAGGCTTGAGGGTGCGTCTGGGAGCGAATCACTCTCGCCTGCTAAACGGTATTTTTAGAGTGAGATTCTCTGCTGATTGTGTGAAGCGATTCTCTGAAATAAACTAAGAGGCTAAAAGCTAAAAAAAGTAGCTTCTTCTGATTCTGTGAAGTGATTCTAAGAGTTTATGCTAAAGAATAAAAAAATCATTTTTAACCTTATTATCACTTCACCGGAGAATGAGGAGCACAACTCTGCGAAACGAACCCTCAAGCGTCGACGACCCAAGGACGTAAAAATCAGTGGAATATCCAGAAGACCCGTGGAGAAGATGAAGGGGTGGTGCTGTGTATTTGTACAGGCTTTACCACGGCGGGCAAGATAAAGCGCCCGCCTCGGTAAATCAACTCTTTACCATGGCGGGCAATTTAAAGGGCCCGCCACGGTAAATCGTATTAACCGCGGCGGGCCATTCATACCGCCCGCCGCGGTAAATAACGATTTTCTGCGGCGGGCAAGTAAGGTGGCCCGCCGCGGTAAACCCTTTTCATGCAGCGGGGCCGGCCACCGGTTAACCGTGGCGGGCAAAAGAGGTGCCCGCCACGGAGCCCATTTTAGTCACGCTGCGCAAATTGATTCTAGTAGTGACTTCGGGGTGAGTAGTACCAGCAGCACGTCTCAGTGGCGGTTGTTGATTACCCTGGTCATTGCTCTTGCTCGCTACGACCAATTCTCGCTGCAGTAATCTCTTTTTTTTCGTGAACGTGCATTTGCGCGTATTTCACGCTGCAGTATAATCTTTGAACCAATAAGACACTCAGTCATCAGAATTAAAAGGGATATACAAACTAGGTAGCTGACATGCTCACAAACCCCAAATCAGAGACAGGCAACAATTCTAAGCTCTTGCCTACACTCTTGCGAAGTAATAGCACACAATCAATTCAGCATTTCAGTGTACAATGCAAAGGGCAGTGGAACTTGAATTGAAGAAATGTTTTACGCCGTTACAGCTCACATGTGAATGCTGTCAAACCTGTCTCTCTTGCGCACCGCCATCTCTCCCTCTCTTCCTTTCTCTATCTCAGTTCTCGTTCTTTGTGTCTCAGCCCTTTGGCTTCAACGTGGCGTGATGGTCAAGATTCACCGTTAGGTAGTCAACGTGTCCTCCACAGCGTACAAGATCTGCAAAGGCTTTCGGTGTCGAAACCTTTTGGCGCCGTCAGGTAGTCAACGTGGCATGATGGTCATGATAGAAGCAACAACTGACTAATTCCAAGACAAATCCAAAGGGCGAAGGCGCGCTGATGTCGATAGCCTGTGGTTTTGGAAAAGGGGTCGTTCCTCGACGCCATCCTTACCACCACCAATCCACACAACAGACCAGCCGAGATTGCCAAGCAGGTCACCGATGCATGTCCTGTGGCCGACTTCACCAATCACCACCCAGGACCTACTACCCAAAGCCCCCGCATGGCAACGATTGTGATGTCCTCTGCCTCGTGCTCCACGAGCACGCACACCTCCACTTCAACCTTGGCTCCATCGTCGCCACCGCATAGAGATTTCTCCTTGAGATGCTACCATGGTTTTAAATAGCGGGCTATTAGAAATAGCAGTAATTTTTTTCCAGCAGCTACAGGGTTATAGCGCCCTATAGCGGGCTATGACATATAGTGTGTTTTTTTAAAAAAACATGAAAAACACCATTAATTTATGCACAAAAACATGATAAATTTAAAATTCGATGAACACAGATATATTTCTAAGGTTCAACGAGCCTAGGTAACATTACTAATATGACATTATAATATGGTTCATGAAACTCCAGTGCTTAATTGTCCAAAATATCAAATTAGTAGCAAATGATAAGTGTACAACATGGCTTAGCAAACTTTGATATGGCTTGTTGGCGAAATCTGAAATAGCGACTCTATTTGAAAGCTAAAGCTATGCAATCTATAGCGCTAAATAGCGGTCAAAGTTGGCATAGCGGCACAAATACTAATAGCTTAACGTGGAGTCTCTCCCGCCGTCATAACATCGCTATAGCCCTCTGTTTCAAACCATGGGTGCTACTGCCATATCAAAAACGGTGTCAGGGGTGGTGGTGGCAATAGGTGCAGGACCAACTCGGAAACACAATAGTGACCCCATCGGGAGACGTTGCATTACAAGCGCAAGGGGCTGCATTACGGCTACAGGCTAATGCCCCAACATATACATCATTTGTGGATACAACCGATTTGGTCAAATTGGTGGGTGCAATTTTATTTGTGTTTTGAGCATAGTGCTGGCTTATAAAAAGAGATACTCCCCGTCCTAAAATATAATGTATTATAGCTTCTAAAATTTATACTAAAATATAATGCGTTCTAACTTCTATGTGGTAGCTTTATACAAATTTGTTAAAAAGAAAGCTATAATTTTAGTAGAAAAACTTTTTAATTAATCCATGATGGGTACATGTATGTGGTTTTGAGTATTTTCTTAAGTTGTCTATTTTTTTAAAAAATGCATTGTATTATAAAACAAAGGGAGTATGCACGAAGCTAAACAACTAATTTTGCATGACCCCGTTTGGTTTCTAGGAACTGATAGGTATTGAAAAGTAATCTAATGACGAAATGAGAAAGTTATAGATATTGGTTACAATCCATAGGACCCAAGGCAGCCTTATGATGGTTTGAATAGTTGCTATGAAACTAACCCATCAAACCTAGCGTGCCGTGCAATTGGGTCGCAAAATATTTTTTTTTGGAAAAAATCCTCCTAACCTCCCTCAACTATTAGGGTAGTTGATTTACCCCCATTCAACTACAAAACCAAATGTTTGTGCTCCTCGAACCATTGAAACTGTATGATTTACTTCCCTGAACAGTTTTGGCTGACGTGACGCTACATTAGCCACGAGAGAGGTAAATTGAACTTTCACGATAATTTAGGGAGACCAATTAGACTTTATAAATAGTTGTAGAAATATTTTTCCCCAAAAATACCAATTTTTGAAATAAATATACATTTATAAATACTAACATTTTACTAAACTGGTTTCATATTTTTAAGTTAAACAATTCAATGAATTTTCTAGCATTAAGTAGTATTTTAGAATGTACACTTATTTCATAACAAATATTTAGATATTTAAAAAAATCTTTGCTATACTTTTTTATGAAGTCTAATTGGCACCACAAATGAGCCAAAATCGTTTTAGAACCATTCAGAAAAGTAAATTGGACGGTTTTGATAGATTGAGAGGAGCATAAACATCTAGTTAGAGCAAGTATAATAGAAGGCTGTAAGCTGGCTGAATGTTAAGGTGGAGGCGAGAGGAGAGGAGAGAGAAGAGAAGCGTGCTGTAAGCTTACATCCGGCTTAAACACAAGAATCGAGAAACTTTATGTGAGAGAGACAAGTGTGCCATGTATTAATAGTAAAGAGCTAACTACTATATTGGTGAACCGAGAGAAGGCTGCAAAGATCTTTAAGGGGTAAATCGAGCTACCCAATAGGTGAGGATGTTCTGGAGGTCTTTTTCGTTTTTTTTCGCGCGAGTGTAGCTACAGTGTTCTCAACATGGGCCGCGTATCTAGCCCAATATTGAAATGCGCCAGGCGACAGCGCCAGGGTGGTCAGGGCTGGACTTTGGACGCTAATAACAGTTCCTATGCCTTATCACTTATATCAGTCAGGCCCGGCCCTCATCGCCTTTTTTTCTCCCGTTCACGCTTCACCACGCCTGCTCTCTTTCTCCCCAGTAACGACGACTGGGCGACCCCCGCCGCCGCACTAAACCCTAGTGCCCAGGTCTGCGTCGGGCTCTTGCCGGCGGCGAGCACCAGACAGGTATGCCTACCTCTTCTCTTCCCTCCGTGCTGCGCGAAACCGAGCACCCAAATCCTACCTTAAGCTGTTCGGCTATTTGTGTTCGGATTCGGATCTGATCGGGTGTACATGTGTACACCCATGTCCTTTACTAGTCCCGCCCTGATTGGTAAGCAACCTGCTTGGACGCAATTTGTTCTTACAAGCTCTGCTGCGAGCTATCGGATCCGACTTTTCCAGAACGGGCAATAGATTTGATGTTCAGTTGAACGCCCATCCAACGCTAAGTTCGCACCTGGTTAAGTAGCGATTAGGGGTTAGGATTTGATGCATCTGTGTCCCTATATATTATGGAATTTGTGTTAATCGCTGGTCCTGCCTGCCTGTGCGTCCTCGATGGGCGATGCTATGCTAGAGATGAAAAATGCTTAATGATGTTGTTTATGTAGTTGGTATTGAGTCAGTAAGTGCTGAACAAAAACTAGGTTTATCTTTCCAGTTACCATTGTGCAGTTTCCAAGATGGCTCGTCGTGGATTGATGGAACAGGACTTAAGCAAACTGGATGTGACGAAGCTTCACCCACTGTCACCTGAAGTTATCTCACGCCAAGCAACAATCAATATTGGTATGGATGCAATCCCTTTACCGTGGTTGTACTGTTCTCTGATTTGGTGTCAGCACACCTGATATATTGCTTTATTTAGTTTCTTTGAAGTTTTCTTATGTACAAAAACTATTCTGATTTATAGAATATTGATTCAGCCATCTGTCACTAGCATTGAGCTCTTTGTGTGGCACCATGCAATGAACTCCACGGTGGTTCTTCATCCTACATTTCTTGCAGCCCTGTACTTCATGCATAAAGCATAATAATTCTTCAGTTTCATGTGTATGCTGTTACTTATTTTCTGATACTTAAGATGTTGGAGCCATCCTCTTTCCTCTGGATGCATCTGCTTAAGCCATTTATATCAGACTGAAATCTCATGTTCACCTAATATTGCGATAAACAATTGTTGTTTGTTGTTGACCCACATCACTATTTTTACTATTTTTACTGGTAAGATATCTGTCTACTTTTTATATGATGATTTGTGCCTAATAAAGATGTACGTGGTGCATTCTATAATGTATAGAAATACAAAAAAAACCTTTGGTTTGTGAACAATCAGTTACTTTTTTTTTGGCTTCTGATGAATTCGGAAATGACCTGTATATGTATTCAAATTTTATGCGAAATGAGGCCTCCTGTGGTAGCATAATATTCTTTCTACAAATATCTCAGGTACCATTGGCCATGTGGCTCATGGAAAGTCTACTGTTGTGAAAGCTATATCTGGAGTTCAGGTTGATTCACATATTCCAGTATAATATTTGTTTTCAAGCATTGAATCCGAGTTATGTATTTGGTGTCAGTTTTATGTGTCATCTTTCTGCATCTGCTTATGTGTTCACCATGTTACTCTGACATGTGATGATTAAACACAGATTTTAGAATTTGGTACATTAGTTAGCAAACTGCTCTGGAAGGTTTGAAATTCATGCTAGGAATACATGTACAATTTTGTTAAATATATGGCTCAGGGAACTTTGTGGGATTTATTTGATTATATTACTATGACATAAAAATATGGATTATATTCCTTAGTAAGGGACTGTTGTCGTTTGTGCTTTTTGTTTCTCAGCATCTGCATAGACTGGTTAGCAACTGATTTTTTTTAGTCTCAATCGTTTTTCACCATGTTTGTGCTTGGTATGTTATTTGTTTTCTACAAATACTCTGATGGCTTAACTTTGACTTTGTAGACTGTTCGGTTCAAGAATGAGCTGGAACGTAACATTACTATAAAGCTGGGTTACGCTAATGCAAAAATCTACAAATGTGAGGATGACAGATGTCCGCGACCAATGTGCTACAAGTATGCTTATCATACACTAAATGTCAGAGTTCTCTATTAACATCATATCTTTCTATTCTGTCACTTGTTAATAATGAAGAACTCAGCATGATTGTTCTAAGCTTTGGCCTATGCTGAATCTTTTCTGTTCATACAATTCATTTACTGGTTTATACGTTTCAAAGATCATGCTCGAACTCTCAAATGACTGATTGTGCAAAAAATGTATTATATATTATTTAGAACTTGCTGATCAAATGTGAAGAATTATATGCTGTGTCATGAAGCCCTTGTGCACCATGTGCTGACTTTGTTTCATTTAAATTAAGGGCCTATGGAAGCGGAAAAGAAGATAGCCCTCTATGTGATGTGCCTGGATTTGAAAACACTAGAATGAAGCTCCTGAGACATGTTTCTTTTGTTGATTGCCCGGTACGATAATTATATTGTGCCACCATAAGCCCTTATTAACATCGTTGCATGCAAGCGAACAAGTGCTAAGCTTTATACTACGCTGCATATAGTTATATTTTGTTTTGTATTATGTCAGTTTTGATCATGGAGTTGTATTTGCATTATTAAGCTTTTAATGGTTAATGATGTTATGTTACAACTAAAAGGGATATGGTTAAAAAATTGGTTATCTTAATTTCTTTGACATTTCCTTTGATATTGATTGATTATGATATAGAAAATAATCGTATGTTTCAACAATACCTATCTCCTTGAATAGGGACACGACATTCTCATGGCTACAATGCTTAATGGAGCAGCTATCATGGATGGAGCTCTTCTTTTGATCGCAGCAAATGAAAGTTGTCCACAGCCCCAGACGTCTGAACATCTTGCTGCTGTTGAAATCATGCGTCTTCAACATATCATCATTCTGCAGAACAAGATTGATCTTATCCAGGAAAGTGCAGCCATGAATCAGCATGAAGCAATCCAAAAATTCATCCAGGTCAATACTCAGTGTGCCTTCACAGCACCATCCAATACTTATCACCATCTCTCTTGTTACAGTGTCTTCTCTTTCATGGTCTGATCCTTTTTTGCTCATTTGACCAGGGGACAATAGCTGAAGGTGCACCTGTGGTGCCTATATCTGCCCAGCTGAAATACAACATTGATGTTATCTGTGAATACATTGTGAAGAAAATCCCCATCCCTGAAAGGAACTTTACCTCGCCTCCCAACATGATTGTTATTCGCTCCTTTGATGTTAACAAGCCTGGTTCAGAGGTTGATGAAATTAGGGGTGGTGTAGCTGGTGGCAGTATCCTCAGGGTATGTACCTTTTAGTCATGGTGCTACCATTCTGTTTTCCATTGTGTTAATATGAACAAAATAGCAATGGTTCTTTTTACAGGGAGTTCTGAGGGTGAACCAGAAGATTGAAGTTCGCCCTGGCATTGTCATGAAAGATGAGACTGGAAACATTAAGTGCACCCCAATCTACTCAAGGATTGTTTCACTCTATGCTGAGCAGAATGAACTCCAATTTGCTGTCCCAGGAGGGCTTATTGGTGTGGGAACAACCATGGACCCAACTCTAACGCGTGCTGATAGGCTGGTTGGCCAGGTTCTTGGTGAAGTTGGTTCACTACCTGATGTTTATGTAGAGCTTGAGGTTTGTAAAATCTTTGCTCCTTCATGATTTTAGATGGACAGAAATAGTTGCTAAACTTAATTGTGTCATTGAACATTTGCTTTGCAGATCAATTTCTTCCTACTCCGGAGGCTGTTGGGTGTGAGGACGAAAGGTACAGAGAAGGCAGGGAAGGTGTCGAAGCTCACCAAGGGCGAGATCCTCATGCTTAACATAGGATCCATGTCCACAGGCGCCCGCGTGCTCGCTGTTAAGAACGATCTCGCCAAACTACAGCTCACTGCACCTGTCTGCACGAGCCGAGGAGAGAAGGTTGCTCTGAGCCGTCGCGTTGAGAAGCATTGGCGCCTCATCGGATGGGGCCAGATCCAGGCCGGTACAACACTTGACGTACCACCCTGCCCGCTCTAAAGCGTCATACTCAGACGTGAGCTGAACTTGTGATTGCCAAAGAGAAAAGATGAGTTTGTTGGTAGTCCTGTCTTTGTGTTACTGCAGATCCAAAGTCTTAGGCCACTCTAGTTTTATTTTGTTTCGTTCAATTTTGGAGGCCACTTCCATTATGATTCCTGTGAACATTAGCAGGTCGGAAACCACTCAAACCAGTATTGTAAACATTATGAGTACGGCATATGGATCAGTATTGCCAATGTCTTGCTTTCGCACCAAATTTTTGGACTTATCTTTGTAGGGTTGTGTGCTTCAAGAAGTGGCTGTGTGCCTGTATCTATCATAGGACGCTACAACCTATCCCCTCATTTCTAAACTACAGTGCCAGTGTAGCAGTATTATTAATTCAACCTTTTTAAAATTTGGTTAAGTTCATAGAAAAACGCATCAACTTCTACAGCATCTAGTTAGTTTTTTTTTCATTAAATATATCTTGATGTGGCATTTATTTTTTATCTATATTAGTAGTCTAAAACTTGTTCAGAGCTAGACAAATTTGACTTTAGCACAAAAGTAAAATGACGTAATTTGGAACGCAGGGAGTACATGTGTGCTCTTTGGTGAGTTCACAGGTTTACATCGATCCAACAAGTCCAAATCTCTATACACACTATTCTGAATATAAACTAGAAAAATCCAGTCATCCAGATAAGAACAAGTCAAAAGTGGATTCACCCTCTATATGTGATTGAGCAATTGAATCGCAATAGTCAATCTCATTCCCATACATTGAATTGTACCCCTGAGGCTGGTGCCATCAATGGGTGATGATTGGAGTGACGTAGATGGATTTCTGAGAGAAGCAAGCGGCTCCCCACAACGGTTGAGAGCCGGCTCCCCACCTCCTTCTGAGCCCCACAAGTGGAAATTCATGATGTTTTGATTTGAAATCATGCTATACTTCTATGAAGTCTCGTTATGACAGTACTTCTGTAAAGAACCAAAAATGTCGTTGGATTGCAATCTTTACAGATTCACTATCGAACTGCTTCAGTCCAGTCATGAACAATCGAGCACTTAAAGAAAATACTACTACCTTACTATTAGTATATGTATTAATGCATCATTTCGCTTCCATTGTAAAAATCATCTGATTGCTCAAACCAGGAGAAACAATGCTGAACTGGTTCATTTCAGCTGCAACGGTTGGAAACTGGTTGGTACCTAACTCTGGGCATAATTAACCGAAGACCGAAGACCGAACCGAAAAGACCGAGACCGAGACCGAAAAGACCGAGACCGAAAAGTTCGGTCATGAGTTGATCCTGGCTCTAACTAATCGAAGTAATCGATAGAAGTTCGGTCAGTTAACCAGTCATGAACAATCGAGCGTAGACTTCGTAAAGAATGTCATTATGTGTGATTGTGATTTGTGAGAACCGAGAAAGTTGTGTGCTAGAACTTGTCATAATAATGTGTGGTTTGCTTTATATATTGTGTTGTTATTTTTTGCCTTCAAATAACAAGCATTGTAAAAAACATCTGCTATCGAGGTCGGTTAGTTGCTCAAACCAGACCGAGAAAACAATGCCGAACTTTCTGGTTCGTTTTTTTCAAAAGACCGATCGCTGTGTTGCATGACCGGTCGGAAACCGAGGAACCGAACCGATCGGTTCGGTCTGACCGAATGCCCAGGGTGTACCTATCAGGCTGTACATTTCCATTACTACCGCTCAGATTGTTTAACGGGCATGCTGATCTTCCCTCTGCCTTTTTTTTTTGGATAACATCTTCCCTCTGTCGTTGAACAGGCATCGAGATTGGGGAAGGATCCGTGGGCGTCTGATATTGGCGCGGTCCACCAGAAGCAGTCGACTCCAGGTTCTGAATATTTCCAATGTCTGTAAGGAGCAACAGGAGTAAAGGAGGACTAGCAAACATCGCCTCAATTCAACATCACACACTCAACACGACATAGGAATCAATCCATCATGGCATTGCCGTAAATGTGCATAAGTTGATCTAGTGGCCCATCTTAAAAGCCATGGCTTTCATAAATAGGGATTGGCCACAATAGCACCCGAGAATGATACGAGTGAGAAGATTGATAGTAAATACCTCGTTCGTTTGAAATTGTAAGTCATTTTGATTTTTTAGATATATAGTTTGTGTTATGCGTCTAGATATTATGTGTAGATACATAATAAAAGTTATGTATTAAAAAAAATTAAAATGACTTATAATTTAGAATGGAGATTGAGGATGCCGTTGAAGTTTTCATTTCAAGGAGTGATGCTTTTTCAGGAACATTATGGAACGATCCTTGGTCTAACTTGATCTGATAATATTATAATTTTAATGTGTAAAATACACATTTGGTTTTGAATTTTGCTCGAGGTATTATCCAGGTTTCTAAACTTCTAAAATGAACATCTAGATTATTAAACTTACTAATCATGTCATGTGAGGCTCAGATCAGAACAGCTTGAGTTAATCTGCCTACGTGGCACACTAGATGCACGATGACATGGCACAATAGCACAAAACGTGGCTCCGCATGGATCCGAATTGAAGCATTTGCATAAAGCGATTGCTACATACGTACAATCGACCATTTCACTAAAAATGAGAACCTACAGCTGGTCAAAATTCTGAATTGCGTTTAAAACAATTACGAACTGCTGTACAGATCAAAGATTTCGTTTCCACTAACAAAGAATCAAAGAATTCGGCCGCGACGATCGATCACGACGGACGTGGCCGCGGCAAGGCAGGGGACTGCGAGGAGAGTGACGACGCCGACGCGTTGCGCAGCCGGCTGGGCGCGGGCCGGAAGCTCCACCTCCTCATCAGGACGGCTCCGCTGCGATCCCGGCCGCGCGCGGCGGGCGGCGCGAGCGCCCGCCTCACCAGCTCCCGGTTCCCCTTCCCCGTGGGCACGCGCGCGCATGCGCCCCTGCTGCTCCTCGGCCGCCTCGGCGCCGCTGCCGTCGCCTGCTGCCGCGCGCCAGCGCCCCACCAGTTGCACTCCGGCCCCGCTCGCCCCGACGGCGACGGACCCACCGGCCTCGGCGTTCCAGGCCGTGGGCCTGCCGCGCCCAGCACGGGCCTGATGGGCCGCGGCAGCCCACCGCACCCCACGGTGACGTGCTGACGGCGATGTTCTCCTCCGGCCGCCGCCGCCGTCGTCGCCGCGCGAGAACTCATCATCGACGCCCTGGCAAAGGTCGACGCACTAGCTCCCCCGCCGCTACTGCGCTGCTCCCGTCCCCGTTCTCCTAGTCGCCGTTTCCTCTTTATATATGTATGCCACGCGCACACGCTCACGCTCACGCCGCGGCCGCGAGCCGAGCTGGAACCGAAGCCGCAGGGGATGCTTTACAGCTTTCGCGCGTGCTCGACGACTCGATCGTGTTTTTTACCACAACACAACCAGCCGAGCCCGACCAGTCGCGTTTCCCGGATTTTTCTGACCCTTTCGCGGGCCTGCTGACCTCGGCGGATTGGCTGGTCGCGGGCGCGAGCGCGAGTGGACGCTGTCGTGGTCGGGTCGAGCACGGCGCGCGCAGCGCGGACCAGCACCAGAGGGCAGGGGCCCCGGCGGGCAGTGGCAAGGATTTGGGTGCCGCGTCGTGGCGTGGCGTGGCGTGGCGTGCGAGTGCGCGCTGGCTGGACGGCACCTGCCTGTCGCGTCGCGGGAACCTGAAGGGATTCGATTTCGCGGAGTCGCTCGTCAAGCTCCAGACAGCTGGGTGCAGCTAAGCTATTGGAATACTCCTAGGCAGGGCAGGTGCGAGTGGTGCGTGGTGCCTTTTCAGATTTGACCATTCCTCGGTGTCTTCAGCGTCGGCATCGGTTCGAGAATTGACCAATCGTACGTACGGGTGCCTGCAACTGTGCACGCGACATTTCTCCGTGGTTCAACAGTGCAGGCAACAGCCAACAGGGCACGTCCTGAAACTTTGTGGACCTGGATTTTAGCTAGCTAAATTATTTGCAAGCATGACTACAATCGCCGGCGATTTAGGAACATATGACTCGAAACATCGGTTGTTTACAGATTTGACACTGGATCTATATTTATAGACATAGATGGACCCACTTGTCATCCACCTGAGTGTCATCATAATCAATGAGTCAATCTTTCGAGTGTCATTTTTGCAAAAAAATTCGCCGAAAACATCTAAAACGCGCGGTCGTGGCCGTCGCTACCGGCGGCGGCCTGGCAACCTCGGGGGAGGGCGGAGGGCAGGCTTCGGTCGGCCGTGTGACTTCTTCGGGAGCGGCGCCGGAAGTAGGGGCGGCGTTGGCACGGGTTGGGGAGCAACGGAGGGGAAGGGGAAGGGTCGGGACGGAGAGAGACGACGGGTGAGGGTAGAAGGGAGTAGATATTTAGACAGGGGTTGGATTGATCAGGAACCTCTCGAACGGGGATCTGCTGGCGTTGGTGCTGAATCGTAGGGGCAGGATAATCTGGTGACGTGGCCTCTCGTGGGATCAGTAATATACGAAGATAAGGGTATATGGTAGATATCGTCTCTCTTATAACAGACTCATTAAGGTGGCTGATAGGTTGATATCACCCAATCAGACAATGTTTATCAAAGGAAGGTTTATCCTTGAGAGTGTGGTGGCAGCTCATGAAATAATTCATGATATTCATAAAAATAAGCAAAGTTGTATCATATTTAAACTCGATTATGAAAAGGCATATGACAGGGTGAGTTGGGCTTGTTTGGATGACAATGTTAGAGTCTAGGGGTTTTGGCCCTACTTGGAGAAGGTGGATTAGAGCAGTGACCCAAGGTGGTTCTATTTGTGTCAGGATTAACGATGAAAATAGTTCATATTTTAAACCAGGAAAGGAGCTAAGGCAAGGGGATCCTTTGTCCCCCCTTCTCTTCAATCTAGTGGTTGACATCATCACTAGGATGCTGGTTAAAGCAGCTAGAAATAATCTGGTTTCTGGTTTGATGCCTCAAGTGATTGAGGGAGGAATAATAAGTTTACAATATGCAGAC